CTTGGCTGAGGAGCGTACGTCGGCTGAGGCTGAGGTGCAGGCTGAGGCCGTGGCTGAGGGGCGTACGTCGGCTGAGGTTGGGGTGCAGGCTGAGGTCGTGGCTGAGGGGCGTAGGTTGGTTGAGGCGCGGGCTGGGTAGGTGGCTGAGGTGCGTATGTTGGTTTAGAAGCTGGTTGAGAGCTGTAGTAAGATGGCTGAGGAGCGGGCTGGGGCGGTGGCTGAGGCCTATACGTTGGCTGAGGGGCCGGTTGAGTTGGTGGTTGTGGCGCGTACGTCGGTTGAGGCGCTGGCTGGGGAGCGGGCTGGGGTTTGTTGTAGGCCGGTTGGGGTGCGGGTTGAGGTTGAGGGTTGTTGTACGACGGTTGGGGAATGGGCTGGGGTTTGTTGTACGATGGTTGGGGCGCGGGTTGAGGGTTGTTGTAGGATGGTTGGGGAGCGGGTTGTGGGCGGTAGGTCGGCTGAGGCGCGGGCTGGGGTGGTGGCTGCGGGGCGTACGTCGGCTGAGGCGCCGGCTGCGGCCTGGGCTGGGGGGCGTAAGTCGGTTGAGGTGCGGACTGTCCCTGCCCCTGGCCGTAGCCAACAGGCCTGGGGGCCGGGGTGGCTGGGCTCGCTGCGTAGCCTGACACAGCGGGCGGGGGCGGGGTCGGCTTCTTGTCGCCCTGGTTGTAGTACAGGTTGGCCTCCTTGGTCAGGTTGGGGTTGGTGGTTGGCTCCTCGTCCTGGCCCTCCTGGTAGGGGGACGCCTCCTCGCAGCACACGCCCTGCTGGCCGCCGCCGGCGGTCTGGCAGCCCTGTAAGCACAGCATACCGTCTGCAATCCGTACCGAGCAAGGTCGCCACCGCCTGAGCTGTATGACCGGCTCGTCGCAGTAAACCTCTTAAAGCAGTGCGCAGTGCCTGTTAAATTATTGCAGGAACCATACATATCATGTGAGTGGTGGTTACAACTACAGGGACACGTTGCTTTGTCTTGTACAGAACGTTGAACACCGGGCGGGACGACGCTTGCCTGCAGTAAGCTGCAAGTGTAGGGCGCGAGGACAAACAAGGAACAGTCTGAGTCGAACACGATTGAGTTGTACTTCTTTCGCGTGCAAGCCAAGCGTGACATCCAAGCTGGGCAAACATTTCTGACATGCATGAGATAGCACAGCCAAGCGGTCGGTCAGCATGCAAAACGGATGTATCAGTCGGCAATCCCCCACATTTATACTGGGATTGTAATTCAGCATTCATCTGCGTTGGGACACGCCCGGAAAAGGAAGTGCAAAATCTACAACTATGCAGGTGCCCTGTTTGTGAGGGGAGTAGTCCGGCGAACCAGTCGACACGAGAGAGACCACAATACAGTTAGGAGGTGTGAGTTGGAAAAGAGAGAGAGAGAGAAATCTTACCGTTTGCAGAAATCCGATGACTCGTTAAGCTATGTCTCACAGTGAGTGCATTCTTTTCTTGAGATAGAGGAGGTCTCGACAACAATTTGAGAGAAGAAATTACGAGCATTCGTAAAAGAAATTTACAGCTTTTATTATTACAAAGACGACAGAGAATCACAGAAATAAAAAATGTAAAGCAAAAATGTGGCTCCGAGAATTAAATTACCTATCAAAAGAAAGGACCGCCTTTGTGCGATGAGTCGTTGTCGAAATTAAACGTCGTTGTCCTGTAATCGTCCGTAGTCATCACATCATGTCAATGCCCAAAAGACTGTTTTCCGTCAAGTTTCTTTTTGTTTTTCACTACTTTCCGTATCCGTCTCCTCCGCCTCCGCTTACGGCGTTGACCGCGTAGCTGCAGCACTTGCCCGGCTGGCCGGACGTCAGCGTCACGCATTCCTGCAAGAGCACCACATCTCAGACTTCACCGTCACCGCTCAACCAGACTTCGTTGCTCTGCGGGTCACCCGCTCGTCCAGTCGCCTACGGGGGAGGCGGCGTCCCGAGGGGTACTTAACTATAAATCGCTATAAATGCAAGCGTACACCGATTGTTCTGTCTTCTTGATTACACTGATAATCTAAGTGTTTAACTGCTCAACACTTGCAAGTGTGCAACTGCAAGTCGAATACTTGCAAGTGTTCAACTCGGTAGTTGTGCACTTGCAAGTGTGCAACTCCTCGGTTGAGCACTTTCTACACAGTGAGCGTTCAATCTACCGAGGAGTTGCAGTTGCACACTTACAAATGTTGAGCATTTGAACACTTTGTTTATCAGTGTATTATTGATTTTAATTTTCTCTGCTGATGTTTAATTTAATTTTTTTTTCTCTTTCTGATTTTTTTCATTATTTCTTGATTTTTCTCATTTGTTTCTGATTTTATTGGTGGGGGTAGACTATTTTTAAGTGAAGTACCCCTACCCCTCGGGGCGTCCTCGCCACACCAACGATGCGTCCGTCCTCGACGACAAGCTTATCCTCGCCAAGCAGGGCTCTCCTTCTCGCATGCGAGCCACAGAGAGCACAACCCACTCCTCGCCTTGCTTCCAGCAAGTCCTTGCAACCCCAAAGACATGCTCCTCGAATGATCATTTTTCATTCCGAGAGGCAATTGCAAAGCTGATGTACCATGATGATACGTCGACGTACACCTTGAAATCCGAGTGTATTCGATGTGTACTCCAGTGTACTCCGATGCACTCCGTCTGTCGACCGTCTGTACTCCGCAAAAGATCTGATACATCGGAGTACACCCCGGAGCACACCTCGAATACTCTTCGGTCATCGTCGTTCAGAAAGCTCACGACTTGATCACCACCACCACCCTCAGTCCGCGGCCGCGCTGAAAAGTTAGCTCTGCTCTTAATTAAGGATTTAATTCGCTAAAAACCAGACCGAGCGAGCGCCGTGTAGGGGGGAATCCCACGGCGATCGAAATGATGGAGCAGCGAGCGGCGTTTGATATTCAGTCACGTGACGGTTACACGTACACGCCTGAACTCGAAGCGGCTGGAAGCACCACACACCTCGACACACCTACCCGCACCTGCTCCAGCTCCAGTCGCCCATGATCTTTTCCGAGCAAAATCATGTTGTTTTTATACTTTCAATAATTGGTCACCGCCTGTGCTTATTCAACAAAGTCTGTGTTTCTTGTGTATTTTTTTCTAAAATA